AGATTTATTACTAAGAGGAAAAACAAAAGATTTCCTTCAAAATTCTGTATTATTGCTCACTGACAGTGCACCTAGTAATCTAAAAGTCTGATGGAGATGTACAAGATTAATGTTGTTTTCATACCTGTTAATAAAACATCTATTTTACAGCACATGGATCAAAAACTAATTTGAATTTTCAAGTCTTAAATTTAAGAAATATCTTTTGTAAGGCTATGGATGTCACAGGGTAGTGATTCTTGGAATGTAGTGATTTTCAACCTTTTTTTTTTAAATCTCACACCACACTTGAACCTATAGTTAAACTTCCATGGCACACTTAAATTATGTTGATTAAAAAAAAAGAGTTGAAAAAATACTTACTGTGTTTGAACTTCTTTTGTAAATACTTTAATTAATAATCTTTTAAAATTTTTGTGGCACACCTCAGATCCTGTCATGGCACACCAGTGTGCTGTTGAAAATCACTGCTTTAATGGACATGGGCAAAGCAAACTGAACACCTGGAAAGTAGTCACAATCCTAGATGCTGTTACCATGATTCATGGGAGGAGTTTGGAAGAAGTTGATGCCAGCCCTCATGGATAACTTTGTGGGGTTCAGACTTCAGTGGAGGAAGTAACCACACTTCCTCTGGTGAAATGTGGTGGAAACAGCAAAAGAACAAAATTAGGAGGCAATCTTCTAGAAGAAACTGAATCGCAAAAGTCTCATGATAAAACTTAAATGAATGACAAGTTGCTTTTTATGGATGAGCAGAGAAAGTAGTTTCTTGAGAGGGAATTTATGAACATTGTTCAAATGACAATAAAGAACACAGACTATTACTTGAACTTATCTAATAAGACAGTAGCAGGACTTGCAAGTGCAGATTACAATTTTAAAAGAAGTTCTATGTGAGTAAAATGCTATCAAATAGCACTATATGCTACAGAGAAATATTTTATGAAAGAAAGAGTCAATTGATGTGGCCAACTTCATTGTTGCCTTAGTCTAAGAAATTGCCACAGTCATGCCAGCCTTCAGCAACCACCACCCTCATCAGTCAGCAGCCATCCACATCAAGACAAGAACCTTCACCCACAAAATGATTAAGACTTGCTTGAAGGCTTAGATGATTGCTAGCTTATTTTTAGTAAAAAAAGAGTATTCTTTAATTAAGGTATATACACTGGTTTTTTAGACATAATTCTATTGTACAACTCGGAGACTACAGTATAGAGTAATTTTTATATGTACTGGGGAAACAAAAATAGTGAGACTGACTTTTTTGTGATATTTGCTTTATTGTGGTGTCTGCAATGAAACCTGCAATATTTCTGAGGTCTGCCATCTGTAAGCACACACACATACAACTTAGCCCCAAGTAGACGGTCTTATTTTTCTCCTCTAGTCCTTGCAAATTTGCCAAGATTTTAGGAAAAAATGGTTTATGTTTATACTTCTTCATCTGTCCTTTCTCAACCTCCTGTTGGCTTTTGTGTGTGTGTGTGTTTTGGCCAGGGATGGGTTTGAACCCACCACCTCCGGCACATGGAGCTGGTACCTTAGTCTTTTGAGCCACAGGAGACACCCTCCTGTTGGCTTTTACTCATATCCGTTTGTGTAAGAGAGCTCATGCCAGAGTCACATCCATGCTCCCTCGTTCCTGGAGATACCAGCAGAGGAGGCATCCATTTAAGATATATAGAAGTATGTGGCAATATATGTATGTATGCAGGCATTTATACGTATATGTAAGTTTATAGGTATAGGTGTATATATGTCTATAAATGGTGTTAGCAAAGAACCTTGGTAAACCTGTTAAAATTAGAAATCACAGAATCAATTCACTATACAGTTCCAAGAACATCTTAATTTTTGTTAGATAAAAATACTATTTATTAAAACATTACAGAAACTGAATAATTTTCAAAGTTGCCTTGCTATTCATGTAAGAAAAGTGTGTGCGTCCTTAAAGCACAGCAGTCAGCATGTCAGCAGATGAGCAGGAGGCTGAAGCGGACTATGACTTATTTGTTTCAAAAATATTTTATTAACTGATTTATCATCTTACAAAACATATCCTGTATTTAAAAGAATGAGTTCCTGTAAAAGGCGACTGGAAGGAGAAGCTGTGTTTCAAGATATTAATATTTAGACTATATATTTTTAGGATGTATACATTTTAAAAAGGCTAAAACCAGTAAATTTTTCATCAATTCAACCATTTGAACAAACTGTGAATACACAGGGTAGACAACGTTTGCTCTCATAAAATCTCTTATGTCAGAAAAAAGAAAAGAAAACGAATGATGTGCCCCTAAAACCTGTTATTCTGTTAATTTCCGACGGCATACTGAGTTTCAAAAGGGAAAAGAAATAGTACCACATAAACAAGTTTAGGTAAAAATGACTTTTTTTTTTTTTAAGAGACAGAGTCTTACTTTGTCACTCTCGGTAGAGTGCTATGGCATCACAGCTCACAGCAACCTCCAGCTCTTGGACTTAGGTGATTCTCTTGCCTCAGCCTCCCGAGTAGCTGGGACTACAGGTGCCTGCCACAATGCTCAGCTATTTTTTGTTGTGGTTTGCGTAGGGCCGGGTTTGAACCTGCCACCCTCAGTATATGGGGCTGGTGCCCTACTCACTGAGCCACAAGCGCCGCCCAAAAAAATGACCTATTTTTGTATATTTATATTCTGTTATCTAAATAAGCTTAAAAATTGCATACTCCCTTGAAATCAAGATATATCTTATGCATAAGATCAAATATAGAATGTTACATAGAATGTAACCATATTTGAGTAAGAAACTATTCCGTTTTGAAACAAAGTATCCAGGAGCAAACAGGATTCCTAATGGTTGTTTGGGATGATATCACAGTACAAGAAGAAATGACTTATCTCCAGTTAACATCTATTTGAAAAACGAGACAACTTGTAGCTGTCCTTACATGCACTTAAATATCTCAACCCTAAAATAATAAAATATGATTAAAATTATGGCTAAATATAAGGTAAAAGTCTCTTCCAATTATTAAAGATAATTAGCAGATTTTTGAGATAAATTTATTTTAGTATATTAATATAGTGGAATTATGTATTAATCTTGCTTTATATTTGAGTTCTCCAAAATACGTAAAAAGTAGATTCTACAGAATATTTGAATAAGTGAAGCACTTCTTACACCAGGTATGCTTTATAATTATGAATTTTTTTTTAAAACAGAACTCATGCTTCCAACTTTTGTTAGATGTTCTCAATTTATTTACTGTCATGCATATCACAAGATCTGTCTGTGATCTTGGCTGCACGCCTAAAGTTCACAGTTAAACAAGACTCAGTCCCAATACGGGAGAACTTTGTTTTCATCATGCAAAGAGATTCCCGTGAGTAGTGTATGTGGGGGGACATGCAGGGCTTTGTACAAAGTGCCTGACAGGACGGCAGAGGGAGGAAGGCATCTGGTATACCCTCCTTGTAGTAAGGCTTGCCCTGGATTTTGAATGGTGAGTAAGAGTTACTATATAACCTAGGCACTGATCTTATATAAATAAGACATGCATGCTGTATCTTAGATGAATGTGTCTGCCTCTCCCCACTACTTTTAATTCTGATGATGTACTGAAAGAAGTATTCATAGAATCATGTTATCACTTGAAAATATTCAAAAGATATTAATAGCTAATCCATTTTACAACTTTTTCAAAAGAAATTGTTCCTCTATACCATTAAAATCTCCACATGTTAAACAAAAGAATAAAACCAACTTACATTTAACCATATGACATTGCAGCATGTACAGTATGCAAAGAGGTGAATAATAAAAAGATTTGTGACTAACTTGAAGTTATGTGTGTATATAGTTTCAATTCTTTGATCATTTTCAAATACTACCAGGCAAAAAAGAACCTAACAGTGTTTTCAAGTGTTCCAAAAATTTTCATCAGAACTATACCTCACTATTCACAATATTTATCACTAAATCCTCTGAGTACTTTAATTCATATTACCTCTCTATCTTTTTATCACATATAAACACAATCCATATGTGTTCCTCAAACACATATAGAATGGTCTGTTCGAGTTAGTCAAAGCTACTTCTTTCTAGATGTAAAAATTCCAATCAAAACCACAGAAAATGGGCATTTTACTTGGCAGAGTCAAGAAATGGCTTATAATTCCTCATTACTCTTTTATGGCTCATTAATATTTTAGAGAACCAGGTTGAGAATCATTATCCTCTGATAAATGTGGAGACTCAGTCAGATAAGTGGAAAAATCTGATGGTAGGACTGTTAGAAAAAATATAGCACTTAAAAGAGTCAATCCAAGCTGGTATTCTCCATAGTATCGGTACGTTCACTAAGTCTCTATCTAGAAAGTAAACAGTGAAACAAATATATTCCAAATATAAAACATCGATCATCATTGTTTTTATTGCATAGTGACTGATTTTTTTAAATTATTATACTCATAAAAAATTTGTCTTAAATCTTTTCTTGAAAAGAGACAGTTTTCAAATAAGGATGTAACTTCTTGCTTTGGTAAATTGCCTTTTTGTAAATCTACAAAATACAAAATTTATAGACATTATTTGAGTATTTAGGAAATTGGATTACTATAATCTTTAATAATTAAGTGATATAACTATGTATTTTATCCAAGACAAGCTTGGATAAAGCTTAGCTTACATTTGTCCTATTTTTTTTTCATTTTCTTCAGATTTTTCTCCTTTTATAATACTTTCTTATTTGGAATCTCCGCATAAGAATCAAACAAGACTCAAATATCCAGATTATTTTATTAATATATCAATTACCATTTACCTGTGAATCTCATGTAAATAAATGTATTTAACAATTCTTCACTTCACACATTGATTTATAATCCATGATTCATATGACTTTATAATTAGCATTCTAATATTTTGAATCCAAAATTCTCCTCTCACCACCACTAGCCAATATACCTTTAAAAACGACCTAGACCAATATTAAAATATATGATTGCACTCACTTTTTTGTCTTTATTGTATTTGGCAAATATCTCCTGGGCTCTCTCCTCTCCTCCATCCGTGAACAACATAATAATCTTATTGCAGTTGGCTCTGGACACATTATACTATTAAAAACAAAACAAAAATGCATATCATTCAGAATAATAGAGAATATAAAGCTATAGGCTAAGAGCATGAGCAGGCTGCAAGTGATGAGTGAAGTATCTGCTCACAGGGTGGATTCCAAAAACTGGTTCTTGGATCAGGCCAGGACCTCCCTTGGATCACTCCAGGCAGGGCCTCCCTGCCACTTTCCAGGTAACAAAGAGCCACCTTCTTCCAGGTCTCTGGTCAAAAGTCACCTTGCCATGAGGTCATTCCTGACAAGGAGGTTTAAATTGCAATCTCCCTCCCAGACAGTGTTTTTCTTCACAGTAGTTCACATTCTGTTACATACACTCTGTATTTCATTCATTTGTTCATGGTTGGCTTATCCCAATAGAACAAAAGCTCTACAAGGGCAGAAAGTTCAGGGGTTCAAGGTTGTTTCTCTGCCCAGAAAGGTGCCTGCCATAGAATAATCTCTCAGTAGTTGATTTGGGGCTGTGAAAAAATAATTGGTTATGATGTTAATTTTATTCCCCTATAATTTTATAGCAGAAACAAAACTATATTAATTAAATATGTGAATATTCTTTTACATATATTTTCAATCTATTTCCAAATATTTATTCTTTGCTTTATTTTACTTCACATTTTTGAAATGACAGGCTCTTAATTTATCACGTAAAACAAAATGTGTATTTATTCCTTTGTAAATGCTAATTCCTATTTCCAGAATATCTTGCCATATTCTCTTAACCTGCTATAGGTGTTCTAATTCTGAAAGACTCGAATCCTATGAGAAATCTTAAATTTTAAGTTCTCCAAAAGAGTTGTAGATAAGAGAATGATGGATTAGCGTTAACAGGCCATTAATAAGAATGATTAATTTAGAAAGCTAGACTTTTTTGAGATCTGAAATTATAATCTTAGCTTTTCCATTGCTGTGAAATGTGTTTGTTTAAATACTGAGAATAAAAGATCATGTTATTTTTTTTCTTTTTTTGAGATAAGAGTCTTTCTCTGTCATCCAAGCAACAATACAATGGTGTCATCATAGCTCGGTGCAACCTCAAACTCCTGGGATCAACCAATCCTCCTGCCTTAGCCTCCCTAGCAGCTGGTACTACAGAACACCATTTTTGGGTAATGATGTTTTATAGAAATGTCTGAGTTGCTATGTTACTCAGACTGGTCTTGAATCCTGGGCCCTCAACTTATCCTCCCACCTCAGCTATCCACAGTGGAATGACAGATGTGACCCATTGTGCCTGGCCAAGATCACATTGATTTATGAATACTTAGCTTCCTTGCAAATACCAACCCTCAGGTTCAGTGATAGCCAAATGAAATCTAATGTGAGGCTAATATATAATTTTAGCATTTCTAATAACTACTTTAAGGGGTGTAACAAGAAATATCTGGAAATAATTCCGGTAGTATATTGTTTAACCTACTCATCCAAAATATCATTAGTTCAACATGAAATTAATGTACAATTACAGACATGATATACTTGCTTTTTTCCCCTAGAATAAGTCATCAAACTCCGTAAGTCATTTACACTTATACCACATTTCAGTGAAGATCAGCCCCATTTCAAGGGTTCAACAGCCACATGTGATAGTTGTAATTGTATTGAACACATCTTGTCCTTTCAATGATTAATTCTCCTGTAGTGTTCAAGCTCATTAAAGGTACATGCTTACTTTGTGAAGGAGATAGACCTGTTATAAAAGTTAATGAAGAGAACATTGTGCTCTATTAATGAAAAGATTCTGTTTCAGATTTTCTCACTCCATCGACGAGGCCATTGGAATGCTGGCAGGAAAAGCTTCTAATCAAGCCTTGTGGAAACACAAATATTGACCAACGTCTTTCGGAGGTAACCTATCTGAATATTTTACTACCTTAAAAGTTACACATTTTACCACCAAAATACTTCTGTAAAATGTGCATAAGGTCCATTAACTAAAACTAATTTCTCTGATGATCTGTCTTTTTTTAATCTGCATGTGTAAAATGGACAAAAACAATACGTACCTACAGGACTGTTAATTAGAAATGATAAAGTTTTTACCATCGGACAGGATTTTATTGATGTATTTCAATAATATTGAAAACAATATTATTATTTAATGCAAATATCAATGTAAGTTGACTTGCTAGGTCTTGGTAAAAATTTGTCTATTTGTGTACAAATAAAAGAATAATTTTCCCAGGAAAGAGAGCTGTTAGGACACACACAAGAGGGCAAATAAGGGGAAAATACAGATTTATCTTGCTTTCAATGTGATTGTTCCCAAAAGCTGCCCTCTCAGGTCTTGTAGTGGGGACAATGGCGGAAGAGCAAATTTTTCTGTGCATTTATACTTATCTAAAGAATCACGTAGTCATGACAACTAAGAAAACTAGCTTTTAACAAATTATGCAAAAACTTCATTATAGCAATAAAATTTTAGTAGAGTTGGTAATTGACTTTATTTATTTATTTATTTGAGACAGAGCCTTAAGCTGTCACCCTGGGCAGAGTGCCGTGGCATCACAGCTCACAGCAACCTCCAACTCCTGGGCTCAGGCGATTCTCCTGCCTCCGCCTCCCAAGTAGCTGGGACTATAGGCGCCTGCCACAAGGCCCAGCTATTTTTTGGTTGCAGCCATCATTGTTGTTTGGTGGGCCTGGGCTGGATTCAAACCCGCTACCTCAGGTGTAGGTGGCTGGCACCTGAGCCGCTTGAGCCACAGGCACTGAGCCATTGGTAATTGACTTTAATATGACGTTCCATGACACACTTTCTGTTGTATCTCTGTGTGGCAAGTACATAGCATGGCATAAATCATATACAAATTGACTTGAAAAGTGCCATCTTAATATATTTGGTAATATTTTATTAAATTCTACTGGAATTCAAATATTAATTTAAGGTTGACTTTGGGATTACATGATATGTCTAATTCTATTTGATTCTCACCTCAGAGATCTTGAAGACCTAGCAAGGACAAATAAAAAAAGAGAACAGCACTCTGTACAAATATACAAACCAGAAGCTTGTGAAAGAAATAGTAAAATAGGCTTTAGGTTTGAGTAAGAGGAGACAGGAAATTTGGAAAAAAAATATTTTAAAATGAAGAATTAGAACACATATGGGATGCAAGGATAGCAAAACAGAGGAGAATTACTTAGAGGATAAACGTGGGAACGTGTCAGAAGTCATTTACAACTACGGTAGCTGTGAAGGCCGTAGCAGAGGCCAGTAGGAATTAGACGGGATTGTACCAGCAACTGGTAGTGAATCTGGGAGTTAATAAGGCTGCTCTAGTGAGACTGCCTCTGATATAGCACTTTAGGCTTGAAACTCCTGATCGTTTCACAACTGAAATCTGAACAGGAGGGAATGAAGTGAGCCAAATTAACAATACTAAGAATAATAATTAAAATGCCAGAAGTAGTGCTTGAGGCTGAGCCTGGGCAACCCAGCAAAACCCCTTGAAAAAAACAAAAGGTTTAAAAAACAGCTGGGTCTGTGACATGTGCCTAAGGTTCCAGCTACTTGAGAGGCTGAGGTGGAAGGATCACTTGAGCCCAGGGGTCTGAGTCTATAGTGAGCTATGATCAGCCTGGGAAACAGAGTGACATCCTGTCTCTAAAAATAATAATAATGATAATTAATGATAAGACTAAGAACACTCAATCATTAACTTAAGAAAAACAGAATTTTATTAAAAAGATTCACATTCCTTTATTAGAGAAAAAAATATATATTACAACCTAGTGGTCAATTATATTTCATGTCAAAGATTTGAGCTTTCACTTTTTATTACTGAACAAGCGCGTGCCTGAGTGTCTGTTCTTCTGCCTCTGCTTTGCCTGACAGTGTCTATGAAAAAACCCGACCTCAAACTCAGCATGTCTGAAACTGAGCTCTTTCTGTCCCCCAGTTCCTCAGTTAAGGAAACCGTTCAGAGCACGTGGAGTCACCTTAAGTCCCTGTTCACTCTCATAGGCCCTTGTCACAGCATCTAGTCTGCTGCCACGTCACTCCTGCTGGTGTCCTCTCAGGTCTATTCACACCCCAGGATCTCCACAGTAGCTTCCTCCCTTAGAACATCTCCGAGGCCGTGTCATTCTCATGTTGCCACTAACCGCTTTATTAACTGATACCTCACTGCCCCTCACTGCCCCTCCACCTCATCATACTCCTGTATTGCTCACGTCCCAGCCACACCGAACCATCTGTAATTTTTAAAATGTGCTATTCTATGTCACACTTCTATGCTTTGTACATGCTGTTCTTTTTTTTTTTCTGAAATGATTTTTCCCTTTCCCTGTCTACCTATCATTCTTCAAAATCTCATTTTCTAGGAAATGGCACAGTCTCCAGGCACTCATCTGTGCAGCTCCAGTGGATCTGCTCAGTGCCCTGTAATGGGCTTTCATGTTGCATCACAGACGATGGTTTAGCAGGTCAAGCTGGACCCTCTTGAGAGCAGATGGTCTTATTTACTTCTGTAATTCCAGTACTAGCACTATGACAGGGAACCGTGACGCATTCGATAAATAACGGCTGAATAAATAAAGTAATTAATAAAGTAGTCAGGCATCTCAAAAACTATTTAGAGTATTCACTCAGGTGACAACAAAGATTTCTAAAAAGACCACATGTAAGAATTCATTCAGTCATTTCGATGCTGATAGAAATTATGACCTGACTCCATACCAGACGTGAGCTAGTCATTAATTATAGTAATAATAACCGTGTCTTTAATATCAAACAATAGCCTACACTTGCATGTGGTTTGTTGTGTGCCAGGTTCCAGGGACAATCTTATGCACAACTCTCTGATCTTCATGCAATACGGTGATCCTCCACATATAAATGAGAAAATCAAGGTACAAAGAGGTAAGGTCTGTACTTTAAACCACTGTAATGATACAGCCTCTTAAGAGGTACACGATTGAAAGATAAATCCTGCTTTGAAGTAGCATAAAATGAAATAGAGGACATAACTCATCATTGTTTAAAAACACTAGTCCAAAGGCCAAGCACAGTGGCTCAAGCCTATAATCCCAGCACTCTGGGAGGCTGAGGTGAGTGGATTGCCTAAGCTCAAGAGTTCTAGACCAGCCTGAGCAAAAGCGAGACCCTGTCTCTAAAAAGTAGCTGGGCATTGTAACCGGTACTGGAGGTCCTAGCTACTTGGGAGGCTGAGGCAAGAGGATTGCTTGAGCCCAAGGGTTTGAGGTTGCTGTGAGCTATGACGCCATATCTGCCCAGGGAGACAAAATGGAACTGTCTCAAAAAATAAATAAATAAATAAAAAGTAAAAATAAGAACACTAGTCCACAGTGGAAGACAGGTGCTGAATCCTGGAACAGTGAGCCGGCCAGAACTGTGACCCCTGCAGGCAATTCTGGGGAATCTTTACAGAGAAAGAAATTCCTCCTCTGGAACTTGTCTTCCTAGTGACCTTCATGTCTATCATGTGGACCTCTCTGTATACTTAGGAACAACTTGAAGACCAGAAACAGATGTTTAAAACAAAAATGTTCGGCAACCATTCAATGATCAAAACTGCAGTTTTCAAGTATACGCTGCAACAAATGCAATAAGAAAAAATCATGGTATTTCATACAGACCAACCCAATGCCATGTGCTTACTCAACATTAAATTAGACCACTTCCTTCTGAAAGATATTTTAACACAGAGTTTGAAAAACCGGGGGAAGAAAAGATCTAAATGAAAAGAAAACCTGCATTTCTTATACTTTTTGAATTTGAGATTTAAAAATAAAAACAGTTAAAGATTTCTACTGCCTGCATGCTTTCGCTTTTTAAATAAGTGAAAAACAGCACTGTTATTTAACCCAAGAGAATAGTAACTGTTAGGACAGTGAAATCAGGTACCACAAGTCAATAATAAAACAGAAAGACGTGGTATTGATACTTACGTTAAGCAGCTGTTCAAAAGCAAAACTAAAGCCCTTCTTATAATCTGTGATTCCTTTTGCTGTGATATTATTTACTGCATCTTTCAACACTTTCTTATTTCTTACATTTGCTTGGACAAGGTGTTGAAAACAGCTTACATCCTGAGCATTGCTGTTAAACTGCAAAATAAATAAATAAATAAATAAATAAATTTAGGTATGTTATAAAAATGAAAAATAAAATCAACCTTACCATTTTCACTGGAGGCGTGTTTTATAATTATTAACCCCATTGCAACGCTTTCTCTTTCCCAAGGAGAAGTAAGTAGATTGGTAACAAAAGTGAACTAAAGAATTTTGTTCTAAATCACTGGTAATTTTGTCTAAATCACCAGTTATACGTAACCCTGAGCCTGTTGCTTAACTTTCTGAAGCTTGGTTTCCCTGTTCATAAATTTGGGATTTGAGTTATGGTCCCTTCCAGTTCTCAAATTTGATGAGCATGTAGACCAAAAAAAAAAAAAAAAAAAAAATTCAAAACAAGGAAATATATTCAGAATCCAGAAATGATATGGGGGACCGGCCCGGGCTGCAGGGACAAGTTGAGCATTTTAATTGCGTCTCATCAGGGAAGACTGGTTGTAAAAAGAGTACACTGAAGGACAAGAACAGAGGTTTAGGAATTGTGAGATTTGATGGTAGAGTTTTTCCATGGAGGCTAAACAGGAAAATAATCTGAAAGAATCAGCAACTGGTGGCTTTCAGAGAGATCACCTGAGAGATTGTGTAAAGATCGTGGGGAGATGACGAAGGCAAGGCCAAGGCCAAGCCGATCACTGCGCACAGTTGTTGCTGTGACTCACGGAGCCCTGAGCAACAAAGAGGCTGCAGGAGAAGAGAACAAACTCCAACGACACCTGCCCTAATCTGAACATCTACAGAGGATCACCAAAGTAATTTGGCCAGCCCAATAAAAACCATTCACATAGGTCACTGGATATCTCCAAATAGAAAAGAACACTAGGAGTACAGCAGCAGCATCTGGGATCATCCGATGGTATATTAACCGTATTTTGTGTAAATTCTTAGAGCCTAAACTGTCACATCTGCAAAATGAGAAAATAACAAAAAGTACATTTGTTAAAGGTGGGGGGGACTGGCCAGGTAAAATGACGATATTCTCAGATCAGAAACACGCTAAAATTGATTTTCATAAGTGGGTCACAAGTGGTTACCTATTCTCGTAAATGTAATGAACTGATCTTTTGTCTTTTCCTGTGAAGATCAGTGAACTTAATTTTAAGGTGCACTGCACAATTCCTCAATCCATTAAGCGAATATTTACTAGCTGCCTATTATATGCCAAGAATCGTGGCAGGTGATAGTTTTATTGTTTCAGCATTAAGTAAATGATTCTCATACAAACATATTCATGGATGCCATAAACACTTAAGTAAAAACATACATGGTATTTATTGTGTGTTGAACATTTGCAGAATAACTACGCATTCCACAAATGTTCTTTGCAAAAGCTCTATAAGATAAGTATTACTCCTATTTCCATTTTTCCAGGAGGAAACGATATTACTATAAAGTGATACAATATTATGCTCCAGGAGACAGTCTAGGGGTGGAGCTTCTGGTTTGGACTGTGAGCAGCTGAGGTAGAATTCCTATCAGAAATGACACTTTCTGTGATTCCAGAGAAATGTTCCAAGGAAGAAGATGGAGGAAAGACATTGCCGGCAAACAATGACATGAGAATGGCTGATGTGGTGGTGGTGGGGGGGGGGGAGCCTTTAAGAAAACACGAAGCAGCAGAGTTTAGCTGGGTCACACATGAGGATGACAAATGATATGAAATGAGTTCCGAGGAAGGAGACAGGGACTAGAGGTCTTTTGGAGCGTCATAGATGTACTGAGGAAGTGGGATTTTATTCTCTGGGAAATGAAAGCCAATGGAAGATTTTAAGCCGAACGAAAAATAATTTACTCTAGAATTTTAGGAGATAACCTTAGCTGTTGGTGAGGAAAATTTAAAGGAGGGAGGTCAATTAGGAGGCTATTGAGTCAACTAGCTGGAAATGTATAGTAGCTTTGTTAATTGTGGAGATGGTTAGAAAGGGAAAGATTCAAGATATATTACTGTTCTCCAGGAACACGTATGTTGAAAACTGAATATATTCAAATCCAGAGGAACAATCCCACTGCCTTGCTCATCGCTCTCTCACATTTTTCATAACTGGATGCAATATTATTCTACATGGGACATTTTGAAAACAAAAGAATGTGAGAATTCCCCTGTATTAGTAAGTAAAAATTTAGTTTGCCAATACATTCATGGTAAAACGTCCTACCTTAGAGAATTATTAGAAATGGTTACAGGAAATGTTATTAACTGATTTAGTTAAACCATGAATCCTCATAAAGGTACAAGTTATACAGAAAGTGATTACTGAATAATGGATGGCCCTGAGTTTTTTAGTTGGCCTTGACCTGCTTTTAACACAGGAAAGTGAAACATCTCATTATGTCACTTTAACACAACCTGATTAAATGTAAATTCAAATCATTAGATACAAATTCAGTGGTGTGTAACAGAAATACTATAATTGCACCCATAATAAAACTCATAAATAATGCAGAGAAATGAATAACTTTTTATCTCCCTTAGCAGATCTTATTCTCCGAAGAAAGTGATGAGAAATTTTAAAAAGTTCTAAATTAGATAATATATATAAAAAACAAGTTAGACACATCAGCTTGTGTAAATATATAGTATACACATACACACACATATATATTTACGTATATATTTAAAGGGCTTTTTTTCCCCACAAACCAAAATGGTAGTCTTCGGTAACGTGTGCAGATATTAAGTTAAAACCACATATTAAAGACCTTGCTCACCTTAGAGCAAAAGTGTCGTCAGACAGTAAATGAAAAGATAAATTTAACAAGCCCTAATTTTCTCATCTATGAAGAAAATACATCTTTCTAAAGTGTATATTTAATGATAAAGATTTAGAAAGACAAGCTAACATTTACTGATTCCTTTTCTGATCCTAAAAAATTCAACTAAGTAGGTCCCTGATTAGAAGTGCTGAGAAAAATCATGTTTCGATAGGAAGGAATTGTGAGTTAGCACGGGCCTAGAGGGGAAAGTACAGAGGACTCTATCTCTTCTACAGCATTAGGGAATTCTTTCCTTTTCCCCTTCCAAATATTTTGTTCCTTCTGTCTGTAACCCTTTTCTCCCTTCTTCTCTCAATCCTCATGAAAGCTTGTATGACTTTTCCTGACTGGATCAAATCACCCCATTGTAAGACCTCCTAAATTTCTCTTTTGTTTCAGAAGACATCACAGTTATAATTTCACATTTCTTTATATAATATCTTAATATATAGATGTTTGCATTAGATTATTGACTTACATGGCCAAAGAAAATACCCCTTCCACCACTACATCTTCAGCACCTGGCTTGTAACCTGTACGCTATAAATATTTACTGAACATACATTTTTCACTTTACCCCTTGGATGTGGGGAAAATGAGAACTTAAGAAATTAGAAATGTAAGAGAATTAGAAGCCAGGGTAAAATGCTTACTAATAAATGGTCAAAAACAGGTGTGTAGAGCACCTAGCATGGAGTCAGGCACGTAGTAGGTGTTAAATAAACAGCAATTCTATCATTGAAAAATCGTTTAATAAAAAACATTAGCATACTCAATACTGAAGTCAGAATTGATTCCCAATTCAATAGAAAGATTAAGATAAACCATACCAGTTACAGGGAGCTTTAAATGAGGTTGACTAACAGGATGACCCAAGCATCCTTGAAACATTAATTCCGTGTTTAAATCCATGATTAGTACATTTCAACACCTTCCTATTAAATAGCATAATTAACTTCATACATCAAATTAAAACATGCTTTGGGGCTTAAATAAAGATAATTTCTCCAATGAAATAAACCAATCTTGTTTGTAAAGGCAGTCTCCATTTTTGTTTTAATGTCCTTTGCTGATTAAGAAATCATGACGCAACACACTTCTCAGAGGGGTATTCTGCTCACAATGCGTTATCCAGATACAAATACTGGAAGGTTACCATTGCCTTGATACACAGTTCAAGCCAAACAAATTCCCAGGAAGTGCTCTTTTATTTTTTTCAGGAATGGAGGGCTCTGAAATACACCTTCAGAGAGTACCAAATTCTCTGTGAAGGTTAGTGATCTCAAGTAGTTCTACAAGTCAGAAACATTAAGAATTAGGGACAAAAAAAATTCTCAAAGTGCTATCTTCCACTTGGAACCTTGGAGAAAAGTAGCCCATTAAATCTCTGATGGCCTGCCTTTTAATTTCCATCCCTTCACCTCACAAAGGCTCCTCTCCCTACCTCTGGATTCTATACTGCTATAAAGGAAGGCTTGTTTGGGGGTACTTTGTACACTAATTAGTCATAAAGCATTTGTAATGGTCAAAAATGGGATATATTTTATAGTTCTCTGCTTTGGAAAGATTATTCAATATTTAAATTATTTCTTAAAACATGTCTTAATGTTATGTTTTCTCTTCTTTCTTTATGTAAAAGAAATACGGTGTAAAACCGTTGGTTCAAGCTGTGTAGACGATCAGCAAAAATAATCCAAACCTAGACTTGCTGCTTGGGAACATGGGTATATTTATAAATTTTTTTTAAATGAGCGAATTTATTTACATGTTAAAAATGATAAGTAACATATAAAAATTGTATTATATAAAATATAATTAGCTTGTTAATAATCTCATTAACCAACTTAATATTCTGCATATTAGGCAATACTATCACAAATTATAGTATCAGATGCTATTCACATTGTGACCACTAGATGGCAATACATGAAAATAAAAGAAGGGTGAAGCGAGGCTGTGATCTTCAAAATCTTGGTCATGCTTAAACTCTCATTAAAATTGTTTTAAATTTATTTTTATATTCGTATTTTCAAAGAAAATTTGAAATCCATAAAATATAAAAACAAAATTATTATTCTACAACTCACAAAAATAACTGACAGCATTTATCCACATAATTATATATGCCTAGTTAGAGGCTCCTGCGTTTATTACCAAATTGCTTTCTAGACTCCGAGGGTCTATGCCAATTTAAAGTACATGTGTGCAGTCTTAACGCACTTTGA